GTTTCTTCACAGATCCGTCGACGAATCCAAGCTTATTCTTGACGGATAAGGCAATAGTCATGGCACGGCTCCAGGAGCCATAGTTATCTCCTGTAAGCTGTTGATTTACAAGCACCAGGCCAGGACTATCAGAATGATGCAGAAAAAATGGACTTGAAGGATCATCACTGGAAGATTGTTTAGCAGCAGATCGAGAATCAGATCCAGTGTCAGGAATGATTTGCTCCATGTTGATATTGATTTACGGCAGATGTGAGATAAAGAAGGAATCGAAGAACAATCACAGATACAAAGTGAAATTGGAGATGATATCAATATAGAAAAAAAAATTGAAGAAGGATGAGGAAGAGCAAGAGATCACAGGAAGATGAAATCGAGATCATGCAGTTTAATTCACCTCAGATTTGCTCTGATACCATATTACAATTGAAAGAATGAAGAATTGAATTAGAAGATATTATTCATCTCAATGAAAAATGGAACCAACAATACAATAAATAGGCAGGAAAGAAAAGGCGGGAAAGAGGAGAAGAGTCCAGCTGGCTAACAAACTAACAAACTTTCAACTTTCCTAAAATATGGTCATAATAAAACTCGTATAGGAGGATTGAAAAACCGTTCATTTGGTACGCAACATTAAACATTAATTAGGTTTTTGTATCAACGTCTGAGACTGGACGACATCATTACAGAGATGATATTATGTGCATCTGCATATTCATCATATTTTTTGTAGCACGTTTAGCATGTTAAATTGGATATGAGAACTACTAAATTTCATGGATCATGTCCTTCAATTGCTACGGCGCCATTTCATCTAATCAAATCTTCTTTCTCCCCTTGTAGGGCCTGTTGCAATATTTCAATCTGGTTGAAGGATGCCTAACAATGATCCAATCATACCAAGAAAAGAACAACTTTACGTATGACTGGATTATCCGAACCCGAGTTGATGGGTACTGGTCCAAACGGTTGGCCCCCGATAACTTCATCCCAGGTCAGTACGTAGTTCCACCGGGTTCCTCTTACGGTGGCCTAAATGACCGTTTTGGCGTCGGCGATGTTAACAGCTCGATCGTTGCACTTTCAAGACTTTCAATGGTTCCCGAACTTGACTCTGCCGGGTTCACACAGCTTAACTCGGAAACAGCATTCAAGGCCCAACTCACGACTCGAAAGGTCCCTTATGTTACCAAACCCCTTCCGTTTTGTATAGTAACAGATCGTCAATATGACTTCCCCCCGGCCCGTTTTGGTGTCCCGGTGGCAGCGTTGTCTAGCCCAGGCGCATTAAGTGGGGCTAAATGCAGGCCTTGTACACCAGTGTGTACTGGGTCGTGTGTTGGGCCTATAATGAGTAGGCTTGACAAAGGATGGAGCTGGACTGAATGGGCCAACAACACCGTACAGCTTTGTGATGCCCATGATAAATGGGAAAATGGGTGGGAGAAAATATTTGATAGAGTAGCTGGGAAAAAGCTAGCCGCGGTGAGGAAGGAAGTTTGGTCCCTGAAAATCGAGCAGTGTATCAATGATTTTGAGAAGTTGAGAAATCGGACGGCCAGTTGGGAGACTCCGCCAGTAGCTGAGATTTGTGGGCTTGGTTTGAAATCTAAATGAGAGCAAAATGAAAAATGTGGGGATGGGTTTTAACTCCAACGTGCATTTTTCTTTTTTTTTTTTTTTTTTCCCTTGAGGCTCATTAGCTTAGAATTTATTTTTTACATATAATTACATTATTGTATAATGGTAGAATTTTCACGTGATTATGTATAACATGTACATTATAAATTGTTTGAAAATAGTATTTCTTTCATAAATGATCTGTAAAATATATATATATATATTATTCATGTTCTTCTTATCAGTTATGGAAATAGGCTTCTCGTTCTGCATGGAGTGACAACACGATGGTACCTGTAATTTACAACATAAATAAACCAAACATCTTGGTCCCTGGGAGCTTAGGCTTCCATCATTATGGAGATAAAAGTTTGAAAATTCTGCATGTTTTTATCAAGGAAGATTATACTTGCTCAAGTATCATTTTCATGTTTATCTATCACTAGTGATTGATCTACAAGAGTCACAGTGTGAACCTGTACTAAAACATATTTTTTCTCCTTTCTGAAAATTTTAAGTTGTTGGATTTGTACGTGGGGATAGTTTCATCTATGTACAAGGAAATATTAGTTGTTTTTGTCGATAAGATGGTTTTGAAAATATTGCTGTGCTCGAAAGATGGCCATCGTTGACTTAAAAGGCAACATATATTGCACGGTTGCATTCATTATCTTTTGGGGGTACTTTTAAAATTGGCTTGATCAAAATCCTAGTTTTCACTTTGAATTTTCAATAATTGCATATTTCCACAATGACCTTTTGAATTATAAAAGACAAAAATGTTCTTAAGTAAACAATACAATTACAAAAAATCATTTTTATCTAAAAGACAGTACTACCATTTTAGTTAACAAGTAAAAATCAAACACTTCCCATTTAAAATTTTAAAATCAGCTAAGTTTTCTTATCTATTTATTTCAACACAAATAAAAACTCTCTCATTTTTCATCTGCTTCAACCTCAAAATGATGTGAGCACGGAATCGGGTGTGTCAAAGTCAAGCCCGAGAAAGGATCAGTTGATTATCGAAGGAGGTCCGACGGTCGAGAGTAAAGCGGGTGAAAGAAGCGATGAGATTGCTTACTCAAGTTATGGTGGACGAAATGTCGAAATTAGCAAGACAAGGAACAACTTTCATGAAGGGGCCGATGGCCGAAACAAATTGGAGCATCATGTTGCAAGCAACGGAAGAAGGAGCTGCAGAGATCAACTATGCGACAGCATAGTTGAGATAGGCATGCAATCGCATGCCTATAAACCGAAACCAACATGGGCCATTTTCAGTGAACTATGCGATCGCATTCAGAACAACTATGCGGCCGCATAGTTAAAACCAGCAGGTAATTTTCAGTTTTTGAAAATTTCCTAGTTATGTTAGAACTTTATTCCAATTGATATTCTTGTAATCTTTAAGGGGATTATGCACGTTTTTTGACCAAATTTCTAGGATAGTATAAATAGGATTTTATTTTTATTGTAATCTTTACACAATATTATTATTGAGATTTATTGAGGGGTAAATTTGCTTTCGAATTCTTGTTCTTCGTTAGTGATAGGAATGCAAAATGCATATTTTTCCCTCCATATTTTATGTGCTCGTATGATTAATTAATACCAAAATGTACTCATTACGTAATATTTTAATTTAGGTGGCAATTCAATGGAGATGACATAATTTGGAAGAAATAAATGAAAAAGGACCAAGTGAAAGGAAATGAAAGTTCAAGGACTAACGTGAAAATACACAAAAGTTGTGTCGAACCAAATGATGAAGTGAGAGTGTTAGAAGTCAATTGAATGAAGAAAGAAGTCAAAGGGGGTGAAATATCGTCAAAGTAGGATCACACATCAATTTGCAATTGAAAAGTTATGCATCGGATTTTCAGTCTCAATTTGAGACCCATTTTTGACATGGCAAATGATCGAATTGGAAGATAATATCTGAAGGAAAGTTGTATCCCTTTGAGTTAACTTTCTAACGCATCTTGAATCGGCTCAATCAGATATCGGGAGAGAAAGATATGACCAAAATATTGAAAGCTGCCCAGCAAAGTTGGTGGGGCGCCCGCCCGACCATAGACTTCATTTACAGAAGCCAATATTTTGGCCTTGGCGGCCGCCCCATTTTCTGCTTGGCGCCCGCCCAGGCCAAATCGCGGAAAATTTTTTGGTTTCCGAATTTAAGTCAAGCACCTATGGAAAAAACTATAAATACATATTTTAAAACCCTAGAACACACGAAAAACATACCAAAACGCCTCCAATCTATTTTCTCTATATTTTTCTTAGATCTATTATGTGTAACTAACTCTTGGTACTTGATTGAAGAATACTGAAGTCTTGGAAAACATTATAACTGTGAGATCCACCTATTTTCATTGTTTAATTTACATTTTCAGTATTGAATATTCTTCTATGCATAATTTTATGATTTCCATGTTTGATTGCTAAGACATCTATTAGTTTTTCATATATTGCATTCTATAGCTAAGTTAAATATCAAATCTATAATTGTTTGAATCATTTAACTTGTAAAACACTAGGATTTGATAATTTTCTGCGATAGATGTTATTGAATTTTAAGAAAATGTTTAAATAGATTGAATACAACCGCTGGTGTTCGTATTATATAGTTCATCGATTTCTCTATTATTTAAAGTTGTTATTAAATTGAATCTTTAACGCTGGTCAGAGATTATTTGATAATTAGGGTTAATTAGAACGTTGGTTTCTGATTAACTAAAATTAAGGAGAAATA